GATGAAGCAAGAGTATTCATTCAGGGAAAGTTGGAACTCGTGAGGGTGAATGGCATTTTTATGCATACTGCGGAGCGAAGCATAGGTCGGAAAAGTCAACTCAAAGCAAACTTGCATTTGCCAGCATTCCTGGTGGGTGGTGAGTGCGGTGAGGGGAGCAGGAATAGGATACAGCTGGATATTTAACCGGGATTATGGCAGCTCGTTTGGTAAAACATTCGCGGAAGTTAAGCTCCTTTCTCAGCCGCCTGTTTTAGGTAGCGCCGGGGTCGCGGAGATAATTCTTATCGGGGCTGTCTGGGCTGCTTCAACGCAATTAAAGCGAACCTATTTCTGATTTTCCTTCCAGGCCGACACGTGCAGCGTGCCAACTTTCGCGAATCGCGAAATTTTGCCTCACAGTGAGGAATCGAACCGCGATCGATCGGTCGCTTATCTTCCTCTCTCTCGCGCGCGGATGGAGTTTGAAAGATTCGTTGAAATCACGATGGAATACTTTAACTCGAGCGATAGTGTATGAATAGGTTGATACTGATACGGAAAAAATGAAGCGTGAGATATTGGTGCCGGCTGTGAGAAAAAGTAGATCACGATTCGGCATGCATGACTGAAGGATAAATGTAGGGTAACTGATGGAACAAGTGGATTATTCAGTTGACAGAATAAACGCGAGACCAGAGGTACTTACTTTGTAATAACTGGTGAATTATTTGTTTATACATTTATGAAAATTATGAAGTAAGGGAATAGTACTCGTATCCCTCCACTATTGACTTCAAAATATCGATCTGTTCGTTTATTTTTATATACTTATTATGTGCTTGATGATATGTGTAATACGTATATAAGAATTACATATACATTTATTCTTTATGCACAACATTTTGTAAGCTGCTTTCGATTTTCAGTTTATCAAAATATAACGAAGTAACAGCGTAATGTAGAATGCAAAATTAATCATTTAATCGTATTCGTCGCAAGGTTTTACATTAAATTAATGGACGTATTACGAAACACCTGGCAACTTGTATGAATGTATTTGTGTATTTTAACTTTGCATCAACTACTGACGAATACTGGATCTTAATACATGTCCGTGTATTGTATTTACAACGCTCCGGCATTGTATGCGGTCAGTAAACAGCAGCACAAGTAGATGCCTGGTACCAGAGAGATTAGTTTACGTTTCCAGAGAAAACAGAAATTACACTAACATTAAGATTCTGTGAAATGTTATTGAATCGACGTATGGACTTACTCGTTGGGAATTTACGAAAACTAGAATTAACTGCTGACTAGGCGCAATATTTTCCACGTTACAGGGAATAATAAACGTGATCGGTAACGTTCAAAATTGCAGGTCGATTTTCATTCAAAGTAAATCGTATTACCAGTTTTCTCCTGATTTAAGGTCAACATTTGTAACGATATTAATGAAACTTCTAATCATTGTTGAAGAATTCTAATATTTATTTTTACTTAAATTTATTTGTGGGAAAGTACTATATCTCTTTCAAATCAAAGACTTAGTGTAAACCAGAGTATTTTTTAGATACGTAAAATGTAAAATGCTAATTTCATATGAGTACTGAAACTTTAAAAAATATTAAATTTGACTTCAATTATAAATCTAATTGCAACAAGTTCAACAAAAACATGAAGGATTGTTATGAAATTTTTATCTAAAAGCATAAGAAATATGAGATTGAGAAAACTCAGTACTTGTTTAAGTCATCTTTTATAATTAAGGAACCTTAATATCAGCTTGTACAGAAACCAAGAATGCGTTTGTCAGTGAACGTAGCAGAAATTGTTATTACCATCGTAGTGAAAACATTCGTTGTAATTTTTCACTAAAATATTTGCACCAACATTTCCGACATATTTTTCTTCTTTCTACCCGCAGAAGATATTGATAAAATTTTATCCTTTAACTTCAGAACACTCTACATACCCTAATGCATCTTTCAGAAAATTTTGTTACACATGATATTCTAGAGCTAATAATTTAAATTTTCAATATACCTAGTCATCATCAAAATGAACAGTATTGACGAATAAACAATTCAACTTATTCAGACCCTTACAATAAATCATTTTACACCGATCAATAATTCTCATTCGTATCGAAAAAGAGCCCATGCTGGCTTAAAATGTCAATACGCGAAATGAATCTTATAAAAACTAGCTTATTTAATGCAACCGGTATGCAAACAATTTCTGAGGGTAACTGACAAGGTAGCAAGACAATCGAAGCGACTTTTAGCGTTGTCGCGTTCTGAGCACAGTTTCGCAGCTTTGCACGACGTGTTTAGTTAGGTTACACAAAGGATGGGTCCTGTGTCATGTTTCGTAGCGGCTACACACCCACTAGAGTCAGCTAATGCCATGTCTAAGATTATGTTTGTACTCGCTGTCAGCAGAGAATCATCATTTTCTGTGATACAGAACCAACCAGGTAATGTTTACAGTTCCGCGGTAAGGGTTGCTCGTATCATACCGGAAGACGATCTTTGATAAAGGAAAGAGGCTGCATCGAACAAAGGTCCAAAGTAAACCGCCATTTTGTTTATATTAATATTTTAAGTAAATATCCATAGCATGATGAAATTTGTTAAAGAGCATTATAAACCTTTTTTTTATAGAAATGGTGGCATTAATAAATCGATAACACGCTGTAGTCTGCAGTATAGAGTATAGACCTCCTAACAACCAATTAAACAATATTATAAAAGTTTATTTTATACAGAAATGATAATTCAAATGCCAAAAGAATGAAAGAACTTGTAATACTTAACGGGCTCGTGCCTAGTCAGCAAGCCAAAAAAAGGCGATGCCTAGGAATTTTGTTGGAAAAAACTAATGGACTTTTTCTTACAACTAATACTTTATTGAAAAATGCATACATTGTACAACGTATTTCAGTTTTTTTGTACCACGATAATAAAAAATAAATGAGTAACAGCTACTCTTGCGAAAGCTGTTTTTTTACATGCGCTTTGCGGTGAGCACGATTTCTCGGAGTGGGAATTACTGAAATTAAAAATTCAAAAAGATTTTGTTAGTATATGATTTTATTTAATAGGTGAACCAATGGTGTTTCAAAAAATTGATTCTGGACAAAATGGCAGCCGTTTAACGCAAAAATAGGGTTGTTCGGTGCATAAACTTTTCGTTCTTCGTGAATTAATAAAAGAGTTTTCGTTACAAAAAAACTATTCCTTCACCTACAAAATAAAACCATATGTTAACTGAATCTTTTTCAAATGTTAATTTCAGATGATTCAGCTCCGAGAAATCGTGCTCATCGCAAAGCGCATTTAACAAAACCGCTTTTGAGAATATGGCTGTTATTAAATTAATTTTTAATATTTTGGTACAAAAAACGACCACAATAAATTACACAATATACATATGTATTTTTGAGTAAAATGTTAGGTATTTAAAAAAGTCCATTAACTTTAAAAAAAAAATTCCCAAAGATCGCCTTGTCTGGCTTGCTGACTAGACGTGACTATTTCGGACTATTCGGATTTTCCATTCACGCCAACAGTATTATGTTACATTTAAATTCGTATAACATGTCGGTCACCGGTGACCAACGTGGTGCTGAATGTGTTAAACTAAAATTTGCTCGTTTTAAATTCCTATAAAAAATTGATCAACTTCGATTTAAACGACCAACCGTATCTAAGTAATCTAAGGAATAGTAACCAAGATAATTGATAACTCAGCTTCCACAAGTTCGATATTATACCGCGCCAGAAGTGTGTCCTGGAATTAAGTCCGCGAAGGCTATTCAGAGCGACGCGGAGTGGCCTTTTCTCATCTCTCCCGTCGTCTCCGCTAGGAAGAAAGGATATTTCGCTGACATAACGGCTCAACTGGTCTGATCACTCGAACGCATCCATTATCCCACCCTATAGCACGATACTGGAACGCGCCGCAAAGGGACGAAATTAATAACTGTTTGCGGACACGTTGAGCCCCCTTGGAACGGCGCGCTTTATTAATTTGCGCCGGCCATTATGAACACGGCGGATTTCCGTAGTATCGCGAACACGCGCGACGAGTTTTTACGTTCACGATGGGACTAAACAGTCTCGCACACGTGATAGAATGGCTCGGAGAACGTGTACTGTTTGTAGACACGAGCGAATGTTCCTGTCTGAATCAAGAGTTTCGAATAATGAGGAAAAGTATAGCTTAGTCCTTTAACGGTGGCTTTGTGTTTTGGAAGTGTATATATGCGGGCGTAATTAAAATCGTTGACGAATATAGTCGTCAGACACAGAGAAAGTGCACCTACTGTATATTTTACAGTGGACTCTAACTATATTGCCATGCTTGTGACTGTAGGGCGTACGCAATGTGGTGGCAGAACGAATTTGTGTGCTCGAAAGTACGTGTGAAGGGGGAGTGCCGCCCATGGCAATATGTTTAGTGGCAATATAGTTAGAGTACACTGTAATTAAATTGCAACAAAATGGCTAATACTACGAGTTAGTTTATTTGAAAAAAACTAATAATTTTATTGTTCCAAAATTCATTAATATAACAAATATTATTAATACAAACTTAAAAATTCGTAATTAAAGAACATAGAACCAGTTCACATATATAAAAATCTTATAGCATTTTATTCTTTTAATCTAATAAATGTGTTTCTTAATTTTTACAACAATTTAGTTTTTATCGCAGAAGGTATTTTATTTTTTCACATGACAAGTATACTCGCCATTGCCCGAAAAGTGGTCATTTTCTCGTGACGAGTATATTCGTCAAACATCGTTAAAGGGTTAAGAAATTCTCCTCTAGACCTTTCAAAGAATCTATTTTTTTTTCTGTTGCACTTTCTGAACTAATTCAATTTGGGTTATTTTTTGCAATCACAATTAGAGTGTTCACATGCAGAAGATACACAGCAACAAAATTTTCAATTTCACATATTAATACGCGTACAAAATTTATTGCTTCTTTTTCTCTTTTTTTCAGATGTCAACATGGTGGCCGAACCGAAACCTCACCAAACTGGACGTAAACGACAAAATGTCACCAAAACTGGCAACGATTGGTGAGTTGATCGCTAGCTAAATTATGGTAGATCGAATAGTATCATTTCAAAATAAGCGCTACAAAAATAAGACCCATCACGGTACAATAATAAGTAACCATCACCTACTTTGCAAAAATGCAGGACTACTTGGGACTAAAAATATATCCCTCGTCAATTATAGGAAACTTAGACGATTGTCTTTAGTTCATTAAGTATTATTTTTTTCAATAAACTATAAACAATGCTTCTCAATTCAAAGTGCACCTTCAAAATAAGGAAATACTAATTATTTCAAAAAAAAATTGAAAACATTGCATCAAATAGGTTCTTCAGGCAAATATAAAGCAATTTTTTTGGGTAAAATAGGATTCAGAAAATGTTCAACTTTAAATGCTCGTTCTAATCAGAATTTTTAACAAATTTCATTAATTACACAGTTTTCTAAATCACTAGACATTTATAAAGCGAAAGACATACCATAAACATCGATATGAGGACATCAATTTTTTAGCATGTGAACAGCTAATTCGTGATTTTGAATCACCGTGCGTCGGCGGGAAGGGATGGGAGGGGAGGATAATATCCACAGGACGCATGATCCAGTCTGAAACTTGGCATGGCGAGTGTCGATTGTGTCGTTTGGAGTACCGATGAAAAATGTCGTTCTTCTCCTGTGTTCCTGAAATCTCTAATGTCGCGCGAGACTTGGCAGCCGGCCCGTACCTTACGGATCGCGTCTTAGACGGGAAAGTTGGTCGCAAGCCGCGCATAAATCTTCGGCTCGGTAGACGGGGAGAGAAGTCGCGTTTTATTTGAAGGGCCGCTGCTTTATCCTGTCGTCGCCGACCCCCCTCCCCACTCGACTGAACCCGTGAATCGCCTTAAGAACAGCGCCAAACAAATGCTAAACTCGATATAACTGGCTCCGGCGCGTTGAGCTTCTAGCCGAGGCGTCGGCGACGTGCTGAAAACGTGTTTTACGCGACGTACGTGACCATGAAATTGCGCGGGACTCTCAGCCCCCACCTCCGACGAAACTCGCGGCCCAGAGATGAAACAACGATAATCACGCGTTAATCCCACCGTGCGCAACGATTGTTTAGCATTCCGGGTGATTAAGCCGACGCGAAACATCGGTTGGAAAGTGCCGCGTAGCGCTAAATCGCCGCTTTACAGAGTTGAAATTGAGGTTTTTAGGGATTCGTATGATTTTTCGGGATTAGAGATGAAAGACTGCAGTTCACTGGATTACATTGTTTGGGTACATTCGAATTTTATCGACGGAAAACGTTTTGACTAGTTTCAGACCAGATTTAAAGTTCATTCTTTGGTCCAAGTTCCACGATCATTTTCCATTCCGTGGACAAAATGTACTGTCACTTTGGATGCTGTAACTCGGCTTCTAATCATCCTCCAGAACTCTGAACGAGTGTAGTTCTAAAAGTCGAAGGCCTCGGACTAATATTTCTAACAAACAGCTTTACCACGGACTACACGTAAACGACGTTAGTACCGTGAACAGTGTTATATTCTTTCCACTATGCATTTAGCCATGTTTTAAAACAAATAATATACACGATTTTCAACAGTAGATAATCAAGTGAGCCACTATAGTGGCGTATTGTTCCCAAGTGTCACTTATTGTTAGAGGAAACCCACTACAGTAAATCCTCGATGAGTGTTCCAAGGCTCCTCAATGTTGTCAAGAAGAATTCCTCAGGTGTAACACTGACTTTTTAATGAGGTTTAGCACGATGATAGATCTTGGAAGATAAAGTTTGCTATCTGGATAGAGTTTGAATAGAGCTTGGAATTCTGAAACCAATGATATTTGTTGCAGCCCCATATAGCCATTAGTTTAGGAAATATTTAATGTTCAGTGCCGAGGAGCCTTCAAACACTCATCAAGGATTTACTGCATAGTAGCGTATAGTTTCAAAAAAATGACTTAGCATGAAGCCACTCTAGAGGCGTATAGTATATAAAAAATTAAATGGTATTATATTAAAACATAGGAGATATTTTAAAAATGATACAAATTGTATTTCCAACACAACTTCCTGACCACTTTCAAATGACCCACGTATTACTAATGTGGTTCTTCAGCGACTTATCGTTATTAAAACGCAGATAAAGTTCTCTGTTCATTGCTCGAGATGCGGCATTCTGTCGCGAAGCTCAGAATTCCCACTGGCGTTTCCGCAGTGAAAACCGAGACATCTCCTATCGCGTCATCTGGCTTCACGATCTGCCGGCCGAAGAAGGCGCTGGGCGGCGAACTCCGGGAACTGTTAAAGTCCGCGAGCAAAATGGACCGAAACACCGATTGTTTAGAGGGGACAGTGTGTTTCGGTGGCCGGGCGTGAACACGGTTGTATTCCGGCGTGGTCGAGATAGCCGCTAATATAAAACGGTAGTAAAACGGGACTGTTAAAATTTAACGATCCGCCGCTTTTCGCGTGGAATATTTCGCGACGGGGGGAGGGGAAATGAATTTTCCAACGGTTCGTGGCCGTTTCGAAATTTCAGGCGGGCCGCGTTAACGCCGAAAAAACAACCCTCGGAAGCCGTCGATTCTTTTTTTTTCTCGTTATTTCACTTTTCGATGACGGTGGAACGACCGTCGAAGAAATCCGTCGATGATTTATTTCCAAGGTGCGAAACAATTCCGTTCGAGTGTGAATATTTATTAAATACGTTTTTCAGGACACAGAATTTATATGTATGCGCTCCGATTACGGTGAATAAATCGTGAATTTGGAACGTAAAAATTTTTCATTCCAGTTTACGATCCTTTTGGTCATTGCCGCAAAATCATTAAAAAAAAAAGAAAGTAATTACGGGAAAAAGCGTGGGGATTTTATACGGGAAGGATCCTTTTATTGGAGGGTTAACAGATATACGTGACACGTTTTATCGTGTGAAAATTTGATCTTTCTCGGATGAAAGCACTGAAATTCCGAAACAAGGTTGGCCCAATTAAACGAAAGCTCTGTTAGAAAAATACATCTTTTACATTCTGTTATAATGAAAAACCAGTGTCCTTAAAAATACGCAATATTTCGATCCGTTAACGACATAGACAGAATCCATTGAACATCGTTTATTTCCATCCTTCGAATTCCGATAGATTTATCGAAACTACACGCCATTAATGTTCGAACTCTCAGTGACGACTGCCGTTGCGTACGGTCGTTTTATAAATTTTCATGTAATGCATCAAACATTTCGGTACAAAACAACAGGAAACGCGTAATATGTTGCTAATAGGGCTTTCAATGTTTTCAAGCTGTGAAACGCAATATTGGAACGGCTGGTATCGCGTGGTATTAAACTATATACGCACGAATGAATAAAATATGCCGGTTCAAGCAAAGCCCGAAATTATCGACCTTTTATTTTAAATGTTCCGCGCGAGTGCGGTGTTTTTTTTTTTTTTTTTTTGCAAACGCGTCGGATGAATCTGCGTGAATAGGAAAATCGAATAATCGTGGCTCTGCTAGTGTTAATATAGACGCTGTTGTCTAAACGTTCATAAACGAGTAATTCATACTTTATAATCCATCGCGGGGGTATCGTTACGTGAGTCGGATCATTGGCAACAGTTGTCCCGACTGTTTCCGAGCCCCTCCCCCCACGTGAAAACGTTTAAACGGGAATAAAACGTCTCTGGTGCAGAACTCTGGCTGATCGCTGCGTCCACCGAAAATGGTTTCGCTTTGGTTAAATACTTCGCGTCTCCTGTTACCGAATGGGGAACAACTCTCGGAATGAAAAAAAAAATATTCGCACTGCTGGAAACCGTTTCGACATTTCGAGGGATGCGTGTGTCGTGGTAATATAGCAGAAAAAAATATATATATATATATATACATATACCTACTTGAAATATAAAAATTCAGGCGTTCACGGAAACTGCGTTCCATGGTGGTAAACTGATATTTTCTAGATACTTACTGGGATTCGTTCCTCTTCGGTATTTTATTGTAAAATTTTATCTCTTGCGGCTATTTTATGTCATATTTGTTTTGCATGTTGTTGCTGTAGAATGTAATTTGTTTGAAAATTTGTTTGTAAATATTGAACAATTTGTAAGCTTATCGAATTAGACGATTTTAGTTAAGGGTTGTTTTAGTTTAGTTTTGATCATTTTTATAGTACTGCAATGGTTCACAAGGAATAAACGTTTTACACTTTGGGAATATTTAGAAGATCGTTGGGTTGTTTAAAAAGACGAAATACCACATTTTGGAAATAAAATGTTTAATAATATTCTCTTTATACTACATTTTAATTATCATAGAAATAGGTGGTTAGAATACAGTGATTCCTCGATGACTGCGACACGAACAACGGCGTTATTTCCACCACTTTGGGGAGGGGTGGGAGGTCCCCCTTCAAAATCAATGAAATCAGAGTAAACAGAAGCTAAGCAGAGGCTCAGCTTCGGGTAAAAAACAAATTTATAAGGGGCTGAGAACCATACCGCCTTGCTATGAGTGCTCCGAAGCGGATCCGAGTACGTCGCTCTCATCGAGACATTACTCTACTTCTGTTACAATTGAGCCGCATTCTCAGACCAAAGTGACCAACTCAACTTTTTCGTTTTTTTTTTCAAATTTTCGTGTGAAAGCATTCGGTTGTTTTACATTCTTACATTTTATTTCGCTATATTTGTGTATAGTTAATCGTTTTGGCGAGTACACGGGTCAATTAACTATTTAAAATTACCTACTGAAATGTACTGGTTAGACTGCAAACGATAGTAAAATACAGACTTCAATCTTTATTCTAATTTCCTAGAATAATCATCTAGTTCATACTTTTCATCAGTATTCGCAGTCTAATTACAAACAGAAATATTATCAGAATCTCAAAATTTACATAATTAAATATCACTCTAATTATATCAAACGTCGGACTGTCTGTCAGCTGTCCGAAAGCCTCAATCACGAGCGGTGAATAATTATTATTATAACAATATCGAAATCGCACGGGCAGGCTGCATAAATATTTCA